GGTCAGATTTAAGACTAAGGTGCACCTGATGCAAATCATGGTTCCCCCCCCAGCCCCACCCCATAGTTCCCTATGCATTCGAAAGGGAGCTCTGGTCACCTGGTAAAAGGAGTGGAGCTGGCATTCAGCTGGAACCAACAGGTGAAAAATGGGAAATCTCCTCCTGAGTGATTTTATAGCCTCTGAAAACCCTCTGGAGGATTGGAGCTATGAGTCGGTTCTGACCCTACAGCACATAACAGCAATACATCTGAGAGTTAGATAATTTAAAAAGGAAGGCTGGAAAAGTTTGAATTATTTGAACTGTGTTGTGGGTGAAGAGTATTTCATATACCACGGACGGCCAAAAAGAACTAAATCAATCTGTTTCAGAGAAGTGCAAAGGGTGCTCCTTAGAGAGGCAAGGATGGTGAAATTTTGTCTCTTACTTGGAGCTGTCAGGAGGGACCAGTCCTTGAAAAGGGCATCACACTAGGAAAGGTCAGCCAAAAAGAGATGACCCTTAATTGTCAAAGGACTGTAACGATTGGCTCCAGCCTGGCACAGATCCTGAGGACAGCACATTCGTGTTGTCTCCATGAGTCAACGATTAACACCTAACAACAACAATAACCTCTTTCCTCCTAGTTTCTGAGTAACCTTCGAGTTGTCTGGAGGGGGGACAGCCCTGCCTGGGGACACCTGGGAAAGGCCACAGGCTTCCCAGCAGTGGGGCCAAACTCTTTCACAACTGCAAAGCCAAAAAGGGCCAGGGAGAACTTGGCTGTGACTCCATCGCGGGGTTTGCTTTGCTCCTCCCCGTCACGGGCTTTGCAGAACTAACGTCTCTGAGCAACTTCTCTTCTCTTGGAGCCCTTGGCCCTCCCTGGAGTCTTCTGCAGCTCCACCTCCTGCCCCCCGAGGCCAGGGGAGGAAAGAGAGACACTGTCATCGCTTCCTCGTTCCCTTCCCCCACGACCTCTAAACCCTTTGAACTGTCAAATCCCCGAATTTTGCTGTCATTCCTGCTTTTTCCTGGGGAGTCCTATCTGCAGTCTCCTACAGCCTTGCAGGGGAACGACTAAATCCCAGGAGGGACTCCGGGTTCCACAGTCAACTCTCTTTCGCCCACTTGCCAAACTTGTCTGCCTGCTCAGCCGGTACCTCCCCCCGTGCGTGGGGTCAGCCATAGCCACGCCCCTCTCTCCTTCCTCTCCAGGAACTCTGGGAGGTGCTGCTTTCCAACCGAACCATCTAGAAAAAGGCGTGGACCCGCAGGGTCTGAGTACCTCCCTAACATATAGCATTCATCCTTGACACACCAAGCCCAGGAGCACGAGTGACACAGTGCAGTGGGCTGGCTTTTAGTGGCTGGTAGTTTCCAGTAAGGCCTCCTTAGCTTCAAGGCCTTGGATAATTCACATAACATTCCCAGACTCAAGTGACCCATTGTAAATACATCCCTTATAGGACTGTTAGGGAGAGCCACTCCAGATCGAACACAGGTCCAAATAAAAGGGAGGGAACTCTTGGTGGCTTAGTGGTAAAGTGGTAAGGAGTTGTGCCGCCAACCCAAAGACAAGCAGTTCAAATCTACCAACAAATGATCTGGCAGAGAAAGATGGGTAATCTTCTCCTTTGCTATTTACAGTCTCTGAAAAACCGCTGGAGTGCCAGCTAACCCACTTACCAACAATAATAAAGGGGATCTCGTCTTAACTAAAAAGGTGGAGTTTGGGGTCTGCCCAGAGGCATTGGTGAAGAAAGGCCTGGAAAACTATGCTGAAAAGACGTGTTATTGAAAATCCTTTGTATATAGCAGAACCAACAGGGGTCAGAGTTACGTAAATATCTTCATCATAACCTGTCACTCCGAGGGAGTGAGCTGCTGGGTTAGGAACACAGTTTTTGGTCAGTTGGCATAACCTAGTCCACAAAGACCATGTTCTATACGCCATTTTGGTGAGGAGGGGCCAGGTTCTTAAAAGTTTGGGAGCAGCCAACCGAGAGACTACTGGTGTACCCCTTTCCAGAACAAAGAAGAGGGAAGGAAAGCAAAACTACATAGAAGCAATTCGTCTAAAGGACGAGTAAACCACTTCCAACCTTTTCCATCCTGAGATGAACTAGATGCTACCTGGCTACCATTGTTGACCACTCTGAATGATATCACAGTGGAAAGTACCCACTGACTGGACAGAAGGGGTAAAAATGTAGAACAAAATTGAATCAAAATACAAAAATGGCTGGGAGTACTGGTCTGATAGACTCTGCTGGATGCCCTGAGACTAGGGCCCTCAGTCACTTTTTGAACCTGGGACAAAACCCATCTGTGTGGCTCAACTTGCAGACAAACAGACTGGCCTATAAAGAACATCATGGTGTTTTCAATCACGTGCTGTGCTGCTGAGAGCTGGACAAAGAATGACAGAATTAATGCCTTTGAATTATGTTGGAAAAGAGTGCTGAATATCCCACGGACGGCCGAAAGCACAAACAGATAAGTCTTCGAGAAGGTGCAGCTAGACTGCTGCTTGGAGGCAAGGATGGTGACATTGCATCTCAGATACTTTTGGCATGTTGCTAGGAGTGGTTATTTCTTGGAGTGAAACATGATGCTTGGAAGGGTGGAAGGATGGAGAAAGAGAGGAAAACTCTCAACTACTGACAAAATGACTGCAGCAATGGGCTTGAGTGTGTCGGAGACGGCTGGCAGTTCATCGTACAGGAGGAGACTGCCCATCCTTCTCCAGCTGATGGCCTCGAACTTCACGGCTTCGGGATTGCAGCACAGCTTCTTGCCATTAGGCCACCAGAGCTCTGTAGGAGTTGTACTCAACTCAAAGGCACCAAACAACAACATCAGGAACACCACCACCAGTGAAACACTCACTCCATAGAGTGACCAACCAGGTCAGATCAAAAGGGCAGCATATGCCTGGGGATCAAGTGTAGAAGGTGAGAAGGAAGGGTTAGGAGGAGAAGTGGAAATGAGAATCACAGGGGGAAAAGTGGGAGAAGTTACAAAACAAACCAACGCAACTTTTTTGGAGCACAGGTCTACGATGACACACATGGGTTCACCATGAGTCTCCGACTCGTGGCAACTGTCTGGATTTTTGTTTGGTTACTATAGTTACTGGCGGGGGCGGGGGGAAGAGAACAAAGGCAATTCAGCCCCTGGAAATGTGTGTTGGCCGTGGGCTGGGCCCAAGTGATCCTCCGCCTTCCCCAGACATACAAGTTATTTCCCCAGTTGGGTCCCTGTATCTGATGCCATTCCCTGCCTCCCTATCCCATTCCCTGACGCACCCAAGCTCCCCTCACTGCCTCCGGCCATACACAAACACACTCGAAAGCTACTCAGAAATATCTGACATTTATTTCCCAGTATTTTGATAATTCTTTATAAATGGAATACATGGGATTGCAGGGGAGTATATGGGACCTTAGGGCTGGCCTTGGGCTCCCCAGCAGAGGAGGTACAAAAGCTTCTCCTCACCCACATCTTCTGGCCTGCTGCCCTAGCCCCTCTTATCAATCTCACCTGAGAGTAAGGGAGGAGTTTTGGAGGATCTGGGGGATGGCCCCTAGAGGGGACTTTGGGCATCCTGTGTTGGCCCTTGAACTGGGTCGGACTTGGGGAGTGTGTGGATCTGTACGTGGCACCGTCTCCGCCTCTCCCGCTTTCGGATCAGCCGCCTCAGCTGTTTGCGAATGGCCCACAGCACCAGATAGACTTCCCGCAGCATCTCGGCTTCCGGAGACTCCAAATGTGACCCAGTCTTCAAGGGGGAGTTAGCTGAGGTAGAACTCACAGATGACTGTAGAGAAGAGGAGAGGGTATACAGTCAATAGCTTCTTCTGGGGGAGAAAAAATAACGTCACTGGGTGTAATAACTGACGGATGAACAGCAAAGGGCCTGATTCTACCTCCTCCATCAAGCTCAGCTCAGACACCACCTTGTCAAGGAAGCCTCCTCAGGCTACAGGAGGTGACCTCTACTTTTGTCATGCCACATCTCAGACTCTGTGTGTTCCAGGGGACTCCTCTGCGTTTGCCAATGGAATACAAGCTCCTGGATCATAGGCCTCATGGCTGACCCAACTTTGCGCCCCAACTCAGGTGAGTGTGTTGTAATGAAGGTGGATGATATCATGCCTTCTGACCTCTGGACCCGTTCACCCCATGGGCTCTAGGACATCTCCACACAGGTGTTCTAGTGCCATCTCAAGACATCTTGTCTCTCCCGTGTTTGTTTTTCAACCTTCATTCTCCATCCCAGAGTGGCTCTGGTCTAGGTTTGTCTCCTGCTCACCCCTCATCTAATCAGTTAACAAGCCCATCACTTCCATCTTCTAAATACCGCTCGGATCCGTAACCCATTCCACCTGATTCCTCTCCCTCTGCCCAGGCCCGCCTTATTTCTTGGCAGTTCAATACTTATTTAACTGCTTCTCTTGTTTTTCCTGACTCTCCTCTCACCCCTTTCTTATTCCCCTTTACAGGACAGCAAGGTGAGGTTTTCTGTTTCTTTGCCTATGTTTAATATGATGCAATAGTATTTTATCAGAGGCCAAAAGCAGCTGAATCACTAGTGACCTACACCGTTAAACACTTGCATTTGCATTAATTGTAGATACATTTGCAGTTGGAAGAAATAATACAGAGATGTGTGTCAACTCTACACTCCCCAATGGCAAGATCTTGCAAAGTTCCATTACAGACCACAGTGAGGGCACTGACATGGACACACTGCCATTGACATCAATCTTATTCCCATTTCCCTGTTTTGCTTGAACTCATTTGTGGGTGGCTGTGTGCCTCTGTATTTTATTTCACATGCAGCTTTGTGTATGTATCAAGCCTCAAGTCAAGATACCTCATGTCATCACAGGATTTCACCCTGTTGCCCCTTGATACCCGCTCCCAACCTCCCTTATCCATTTCTAGAATTTTGACATTTCAAGACATATGATATAAATAGAATCATGTAGGGACTTTTGGGGGACTGTTTTCACTCAGGAGAATCCCCTTGAGATTCATCCAAGCTCTTGTACATTTTTTTCTTTTCACCACTGTTTTGTACTCCATGGGCTCATCCTGAGAGACATTTGAGTGACTTTGGGGTATTATGAAGACAACTCGTAAGAATTGTTACACGTGCATTTTCCTACAAACCCATTTTTCTTTTTCTTGGCTAAAGGCCTCAGAGTTTAAACTGATGGGTCACATAATAGTTGCAAGTTTAGTTTTGCAAGAAATAAACTATTTTTACCCCCCAAGTGGCTTCACTATTGTAACTCCCCATCAGCAATGCAGGAATACAGGTGAGCTTTCCAAAAAAAAAAAAAAACCTGATCATTCATGTTTCTGAGCAACTATTTTCAAGGGTTCCCGCTGCTCTTAGGGTCAAGCACAAACTCCATGACTTGGCCACCCACTGGGCCTTTAAGCTCCAGGAGTGCTTTCACTAGGACCCTACCCCTAGGGCCACTCCCTATGGGGTCTGTGTTTCCTCTCTCCTTGAACAGCTCCTCCCACCCCTGCACACCAAGCTAACCTTTCAGGTCTCAGCTCCACTACCATTTTTTTTTCTTTTAAAGAAGCCTTCTGAGCCTTCTCAGATCTGGAGAACCCTCCTCTGGGGTCCCGTCTCACAGCTGCATGACAGTGAACCAACAACTTCTACTATCTCGTCTGCAGCCCCCTAAGGTGAGGTGACTCTCATTCACTATTGCATCCCTCGTGCCTGTCTCAAGACTTGGTGCTTAGCTGAGAAGTAGGAAATAATTCTTGAACAGGTGAACCGGAGGAGGAAAGAGTCCTTGGTGACTGGGGAAGTGAGCTGTCGGGAACAAAGGGTGAAGGGGAACTAACCTTCCAGGAGCATATTTGCCAGCCGGTCTGTAGAGCAGAGACCATGAGCTCGGACACAGACTGGACAGCTGTCTGGGGCAGCCTCAGCAGTGACCGGCCCCTGCGGCTCTGCTCTATTCTTCCTGTTTTCTTGGCTATCATGCAGGGCTCAGACATGTTGGACGCCTCATCCATTTTTAAATACTTATCCATCTGGAGTAATTCATCCATCCTGGAACTTTCATCCTTCCTGGAACCCTTTGTCTCTTGGCGAAGTTTGACCTCTTTGGGGGTCCCAACCATTTTTAAAGCCTCAGTCCCACTGGAGGACTTCTCTGTCGGTTTCAACACATTTTTCTTATTTCCTGGGTGTCCCTGGATCATAGCTTTGTGTCTGTAGCTCAAGATCTAATAACCAGGATATGGACAGGAGAGACATCAGTTAAGAAAAGGAAAGAGACAAGAAGATCTGGGGGTGGCCCAGGGGATAGAGACAGTGAGTTATGGGGCCTTTTCCCCTCTGAGCACCCTGTCCATCTGTCTGGAGCCTCCTCCCTCCCTGTGTTATTGGTCATAGTGGGCAAGGAGAGGGTTCCTGCTGGGACTCAGGTCAGAGGCAACCAGCACTTCTCATCCCAGCATGGCAGGAGGATGAAGAAATCTCTGAAACTCACCCAGCAAGAAATCCTGTGCCAAAGCCATGAGAATAATCTCAGGAGCACAGTCATCTCTTCTGATGTGAAGACCCTGAAGTAGGGGGCAGAGCCAGTAGCTGGTACAGGTCATTGGCCACCACCCAAGGGGTCTCCGGGGAACTGAGGAACTTTAAGCACCGCGGTGAAAAAAAAAGGAAGAAGGAATCTGGGGGCAGACTTCCCCCAATGACTCATCCTAGGCGTTCCTCCCCTCCCTGGGACAGGGAGAGGAGTCAAAGCAGGTGAGAACCTAGAGAGAGGGAGAATTCTAGTCCATTGTGAGAGCTGCCAGGCCGTGACCCCAACCCCCAAGGCTCTTTCAGGACCCCAGAAGCCAATCATTTATGCCTTTCACTCTTCTTTCCCCAGATTCAGGAACAGAAAACTAACATTACCAAGTGTCTGTGATGTGTTAGGTATTTTCCATCTATCAAGTTGTCCTCATAACAGCCCTTTCACGGTTAACTATCATTTGTCAGTGTCATTGGACTGCTACAGAATCTGAAATGTGGAAAAAGCACAGAGCCTAGTCCAGGTCATAAATCTAGGGAGTTACAGGGCCAGATTCCACCCCAGGTCTGTGTCCAGCGGGTTCTTCCAGGCTGCCTTCTCGCTTTTGCCCGCTAGATGGAGACCTTCTCCCTAGAAGGTAGAAGTGTCCTGCCACCTAAGCAGAGAGCGGGAGGCCGTCCAGGGAGGGGCCGCTCACCCACAGGGCCAGTCTTCGGCCAGCTGAGGGTGGAAGCCACGGCGGCCAGCCAGGCCTGGCGAGGGCACCGTGTGCCCGGGGAGTCTGGCCCACACCCAGCCCCAAGACAAGGGGCCCATTCAGGGTCCCTTGCCCCGCCTCCAAGCAGCCACCCGGATCCAGCCCGCAGAGGGGACACATTGGGAAGCTAGGGGTGGATCCCGCACAATCACCAAAGGCCTCTTTGTTCCCCTCTCCCCACCAGCACGTGGGCAAACCCGCCCCCTCGTGCAGGTCCCTTCCCAGGACCCGAGAGCGGCCTGCTCCCCAGTCGTGCATCTCCATCTCCTCCAGCCACTTGAAACCTCAGCTCCCCACAAACTCTCCAGCCAGGAGCTCACAACCTCAGAAACTACGTGCGAATCGGACAGACCCCAGTCTTGACACACGCAAAGAGATGCCAGCCCCTAAATTCAAGTTTCTTCAGAGTTTTTTTTAATTATAATTATTATGTTAATAACAACCTGAATCCCACAACTTCCAGATATTGTCCATATTCCTTCCCCTGGGCCAAGGAGACAGGGCACTGGTCAGGAGGTGAGGGGGTGGGTGCCTGCCTGGGACCCTCCAAGTATCCCCAGCCATCGTGGGAAAGGGGGAGACTGACACTCCACCTGGGAGAGGGTTCCATCTAATGTGCTATCCTGAACCCCTCTCTCTTCCATCTGGGCTTTCCGGACACCCTAGACTGGACCCTGGGGTCTATGGGAAGGTGAGGATAGGGATAGGGAAGAGGCCAACACTGAGCCTTGAACTCCATCCCCAGGGATCAAGAGGCATTAAAGCTGCATAGGAAAAGGGGGCAGGCAGTTGGCCCAAGGCCTAGTGATAGCCGTGGCAGCCCCCAAAGGCACATTGTGAGGGAAAGGAAGCTGCTCAGACAGAGGGCCCGTTGGGTGCAGGGGGCCCGAGCCGAGGGACTCCTGAGGAGGGCAGCTGGGCCAGCTGCTCTGGGCTGGCCAGAGCACGCAGCAGTCCGTTCTCCTGCTCCAGCGCTGCGTTCCGCTCAGCCAGCTCCCGGATCTGCTCCTTCAGCACCTCCACCTCCTCCCGGACCGCAAACATGAGGTGGGACTTCACTAAGTCCTGGGGACCCAGGGATAGGCACAGTGTCGGAACTCAGACTGCCCCCATCTCTTTCCCTTTCCAGTGCAAGGACCCGGATATGAAAGATTTTGAGCTCCCCACAGACGAAGGGGCCCACCCGGGAAGCAGCAAAGCAGGGAAGAGGGCGGGAGGGGGGCAAGGATTTAGGGTCGGGATGGGGAGCCAGGGACCAGGTCAAGAGGAAAGCAAGTCAAGGGTTCAAGTGGAGAGAGAAGGGGCCAGAGGAGCTAAGGGAATGCAGGTGGGAGCTGGGAGTCAATAATTCCCTAGTATGAGGAAGGCAGGGTTGAAGGGGAGGGACGGCAGGTGCCTGTGCGTGGACACAGGGAGCCCGGACCTCCTGAGACCAAGATGTCTTCTCTTACCATGGCTTGTTCGATCTTGTTGTCAATGCCAACCAGGCTTCCGGAACCGCTGCAGAGACACAGGAAGGTGAGAGAGGAGGAGGAGGAACAAGCACCACGTCTGTCCAGGTGCTTCTAGGAGCAAGCTCTGACCACCATCCAGTCCTTGTCACCGCAGCCTCCTACCCCCACCCCTCCCCGTACCTATGACAGTAGAGAATCAGAGAGAGGAGCGTTTTGTCCATCCCCCGGCGGGGTGAGGGCTGCTGCTGCCCAGGCTCCCCGAGATCCCAGTGAGGTGGGAGTCCCGTTGTCCCTCGGATGGGGGAGGCTCCCCGAGGCGAACAAGGGGAAGACACACAGCCTCTTTTTCGGGGTGGCCCCGGAGCCATTCCTACCACTCGGGTCTCATAAGATGATACCAGGGACTTGACAGAGATTCCCGGCTGGGCCATCCCTGAGGTAAAAGGGTCCCTGGGCCACCCAGAGAGAGAGGGCTGTGTTTCAGGAGTGCCTGGGGGGCTCAGAGCCCCCCGGGCAGAGCAAGGCCTGGCTGGTGCCTGGCGGGCAGGGAAGAGACAGTGTGTTGGGGGTGCTAGCCTGCAAGATATACACCGCCCCCCAGGGTCAGGCCTCGCTGCTATTGGCTCCTCTGGGACACGGGGACCCCCTCCCGCCAGCTCCACGGTGGGCGGGAATTCCTAGACATGGTCAGTGCCAGTGTCCCCTGCTCACCCTGGCGCTGGGCCCAGAGTGGAGGGGAGGGGGCCAGCCGAGGAAAGTCAGCTGGTGGCCTGGCTCCAGGGAGGGGCTGTGGGACAAGAGCCTGGCCCCAGGAGACCTCACCTCTGACCCACTGTTTACCCCTTCAAGACCAGGGTGGGGCTCCTTCTGCACCTCTCAGTGGGGGTGGGGCAAAGGCAGAGGAAGTGAAGTTGTTGCTAGGTGTGACAGATCTGAATCCTGTCCTATCCCGTGGCATCCTCCTCATCTGACACCCTTGAGCCCAGTGAGTCACCTTGTCAATCCATCTCTTTCCTCTCTTGCACTGACCCTCCACCTTTCCTGGCATGATGTCCCTTTCCAAGGAATAGCCTCGCGTAGCTACAAGCCCCAAATATGTGAGACGAAGGTGACAGGGAGAGGGGAAGGAGGCTCTGACATGGTTATGGTCTTGTTTGAATTCTAGTACACCTAATACAAAATCCTATATCATGAACGACCTGGAACCTGGGTCACAGGATGATGCCTCATCGCCCATGTGGAGGTGATGAGCAATAAGGAAGAGTAACCATGACAACATAAACAGAAACCAGCACCTTGCAGGCCAGTTACAACCTGGCTCTGGGGTCTTGGAGAGCGCAGAGGGTTGGAGAGACGGGAAAGCTCAAGGGTAGGTGGGATATCAGTAATGGAAAAAAAGGGCCTTTGGGAGCAGACAGCTAGGGCAGGGGGAAGAGCAGGTTCTGGCTGCAATCTGCAAATGGCCACCAGAGGTCGACTCAAGCCCGACTCAAAGGCTCCCAAGTCTCTTGTTTTTCTCCAGGTACTAAGGTCCTAGAACCAAACTGTCATTTAGGTCTGTCCCACCATGTCCCCAAGGTCTTCCCAAACCTTTGTGCCCTGCTCTATCCCCCATGACCTCCTGTCCCAATAACTTCTCATCCCCGATCACATGGCTCCACACCCTCACTTCAACCCAGCTTCTGCCTCCACCATTCCCAACCTGCTCCACTACAGAATTCTGTTCTCTGGCCCCAAGTTTCACTCCTCCTGGAATGAAGGGCCCCCAACATACTGCATCCCCTGCCCTGTGTTCCTCTGTCAAGACCGCCCTTCTGGCTGACAGTTCCAACTTGCTTCCCTGTGGGGGGATCAGTACTCAATCAAGGTGACCCTTGGATGAGGCCCTGCAGCCAGACGGGAGCACGAGGGTGCTGGGAATTTTCCATTTCCCACTCGTGCTCTGGGTGCAGAAGGCGCTGACAGGTAGCGGCTGGGAATAACCAACAGCATGGCCAGGCCTGAGAGAGTGGGAAACGGTGGCCGGGGAAAGGACACCTGCAACTCCTGGGGCAGAGGGAAAAGATAAGTTTAAGAGCAGAGAGTAGAGAAAGCTAGCCAGCTGGAGAGGTGAAGCCATTTTCAAGCTATTTCAATCCACAACACTGCCGGCTAGTAGAAACAGACAGGAGAGGGCACATTCAAAGGACCTTGCTTTGACTGACACTTGGGTAGAGATCCCAAGTAACTTATTCATCCTTGCCAGAAAGAAAGGAATTATACAATAAACATCTTGGCCGATAGATGACTATCTGACTATTTCTTGTTTGTCTTATACTTATGAGTTTCTGAAAGCGCTTTTTCACTTTTACGTCTCCCGGAATATTAAACTTTGAGGGACCAAGATTCTCACGAGGAGAACCCCTGAGGGGCACTGTTGGCTACTGCTGGAATATATGGACAGAAGCAGGAGCAGAAAGCTTGAAGTCAAGTGGAAAGGATCGACTCTTATGAAGTCCAAAGGCAAGTGAGTATACAGGAGGACAGCACCCCCCACCCCGAGCTGTGTCCTGCATGACCTAGGATGTGGTCGTTCAGGACTCCTGCATGCTAGGGTAAGGGCTGTCCTAGAGGCTGGCCTTTCCCTCTGAAGGTCAAACAGCTGCAAACCGAGGCTTAGGAAAGGCAGCAAGACCTGTGGGAGAGGTGAGGAGCTTCTGATGCTGGGGGCAGAGGCCAGCCCTGCACCCTCTCTGTGTCCCAAGGAGCACCCAGAGGCCGGGCCTGAGGCCAACCAACTGACATCCAGTTGCCCTGTCCACTCCCGGATCTATAGTGTCTTCAGGGCGAGGCCGGCAGGGAGGAGACTGGCTCTTTGCCCCACAGGGGAGAGCTGTCCCTTCCTCTGTCCTAGAAAGAAAGGGCATCCTGGGGACGGTCACTCCACCTAGATGGTCTCCCCTTCTCCTCATGAGCCACAGGCACCTCGGTAGGACAGTGGAAGGATGTGGCTCTGGGGTCAGACCCAAGTTTCCATTCTAATCTGGCTGCTTAATAACTGAGTGACCTTGGGCAAATTTCTAAAATCCTCCCAGTCTCGGTTTCTTTATCTGGAAAGTGGGAATCAGAATTGCTTTTAGGATTTGATAAGGAGGCTGCACCAGACCAAGGATAAATATTCCACCCAGATGCCAATACATTGATGTTGTTGTTGTACAACTCACAGAGACCCCCATCAACCACAGATTTGGACCCTGCCCTGCTCTGCACCATCTTCGTGACCTTTGATCAGTGTGTTCATTTCTCTCCAGGGTCTTCCTCTGACCCTCCCTCTTTCTCAATATGGTGTTTTTTTCCAAGGACTGGTCCCTCCTAACAATATGCCCGAAGTATGGAGACAAAGTTTCACCTTCCTTGCCTCTAAGGAGCAGTCCATATATGTCAGAGTGGACTGTGAGCTATCAGCCTTTTAATGGCTGATTTTCCAAACTGGATTGCCAGGACTTTCTTATAAGGAGCTTCTGTCACAGACTTGAAACATCAACCTTTCAGATAGCAGCCAAGAATGTGAACAGTTACCACCCAGGAGCTCCAAAGGATAAATACATGTACCTTTCCCTCCCCTCCCCTCTTCAAGTCCCAGGAAACCATTCCACTCTCCCACCCACCCACTCACTTATTCAGACCTGTGCCAAGTGCCTGCCATTTGCTGGGGGCTATGAAGGAAGGTTTCAGCAACGCAGGAACAGGAAGAGTAGTCTGAGTTCACCAGGGACCCTCTGCTCTCCCATCCCCAGTTACAGTTCGGGGATTGGTCAGGAAATCCCAGCTCCCATTTTCGATTGGGGCACCTAACACCTCAGCCCACTTTTCTCTCAAAAGGGAGCTCCCATGCCACTTGGACCTTGTACCCCTGCCAGCTCTACGCCCCCAGAGGGATGAGGTAGGGTCTACACACCCCATTCCTGGGGGGAGGGGAGGTGGCCCAACCCAAACCCGCTGGCCCAGCAGGGTAGGGCAGGAGGGGCTGGGCTAGGCCTGAGCAGGGGAGCCCTGGAGCTGAGAGCAGGGTAAAGTGGAGGCTGGGAGCCAGACCGGTCAGACTGGGGTGTCTGGAGGGGGTGGGAAAAGAGGGGAGGGGTGTGTGGAGGGGATAAACCAAAGAGCTGATGAGACTTCAGGAGGCCGAAAATGCTAACACTGAAAAAGCAGGAGGCTAGGCAATGAAATCAACAGGGGTAGTGCAGAGACAAGAGCCCTCTTGCCAGGGAACCTCCCCAGTAGGAGGAGAAGAGGGTGGGAAGAGCTGAGAATAGCAGCAATGGGGGCAGGTGACTCTCCAGGCCCTGGCAGACCTCACACCTCACACATTCCTAAGAGGAGGAGTTCAGAAGCTGCCTGGCCCTGCTTGGCTGTGTCAGCTTCCACAGCGCCTACCATGAGTTCCCTTGCCCTCTATCCACCCTCTCCTGGCCACCTCATCCTCTCTTCTCTCCTGCTCCCCTCCAATGCTTGAAGTTCTTTTCTTTTGTGCAGCTCAGCCTCTGATTCTAGGAGATGGGGCCCCGTTAGTGGAAGGCCGACTCCCATCTGGAATAGCTCCTTCCAGCACCCACTCTTTTCAGTTCCACCTCTTCGTGTGCCTTCCAAACAGGAAGTCCCTCCCCTTGAAGGTTCAAACCGGAAGTCCCACTCCTCCAAAATGAAAAAAAGGTGGCTCCCTACTCCTCCTCCCTGGTTCCTATCAGTCCACAGGCCAAAGAAAAGGTGCTGCCTGGCAGACTCAAGATTTTGTTCTTCCCTCTTTTCTTTTGTTTGCTGACAAACCTGGCCCTCTGAACAGGAAGTTCTGCTCACCCTGCAATCAAACAGGGCATTCTCCCCAAAAGCACATCCCAGCCTGTGTCTTCCCTACTCTTAATACAGCCACTCTGCCCACAACTCCCTCACGGTGTTTCTGCTGGACACTCAGCGAACAAAATTTAGAAAAATGCTTTCTTGGTACTTGAAATCCTGGGATCCTAAAAGCAGTCCATTTAGACTATAAGGAGGTTGCCTCTAAGGCAGGAGTCCCACTCCCTTCACTGGAAAGCGGAGAGGGAGATGGGCCTGGGAGGAGACCAGTTCCTCAGTCTCGCCTCCAGCACGTTTGCCCAAGAGTTCTTACGGTTGGCCAGATGATCTCTAAATCTGCAACAGCTCTGGAATTTGACAACAATGACTCCCTTCAAACTCTTAAAAAGGTCTATGATTTGACAGTCTTACGCAAGGAAGTCCCACCCAGCTCTCTTCACACAGAGGGAGTGGGTCCCAAATCAACAAATCCAGTGGTTATGCCCAGGCCAGACTTCTCTGCTTAAAAAAAACCCTCTCCAAGCTCCACTGGGGGAGAATACCTATAAGGCAGTTTCCTGCAGCTACCCCCCAGGGGTTAGGTGGGTAGTCTAACCTCATTGGCCCACCACATGAAGCCACCTACCTGTCATCATCACTGTCCAAGTGGCCACTGATGGCCAGCATGGAGCGTGCCAGATTGAAGCTCTGGGCAGCTGCTGCTCCAAAGGGGTCCGGAGACTTGTGAACTAAGCTGGCATCAGGGAAGAAGTAGAGGCCTGGAGAGCTGGGGTGGGAGTTGAGGGGCAGCACCTGGAGGCAGAGCGACAGGGACCATTACATCAGAAGAAAGGAACCTGGCAAGTGGCCTAATAGTCTTCCTCCCTCCTTCTCTCCCAAGGATCCAGGAGTCCTGTCTTTGCAGTCCCTTTGCCCCGGCGCTGAGAAAGGACACTAGTCAGTGACTGGAAGCATGGAGAATGGGTCATCCTGTGGCCCGGAGTGTGTGACTTCAGGCATGTATTCCGCAAGTATTAAGAGGGTGCGGGCGAGCTCTGGTGGCCTAGTGGCAGGAAACTGCACTGCAATCCCAGAGGTGCGTGGTTCAAATCCACCAGATGCTCTGCTGAAGAAGGAGGAACAATCGCCTCCTGTGCCAGTCAGATCCAATTTGATGGTACACACATAAAAAGAATAAATAAATAAAGAGTAGTGAATTAAAAAAAAAACTTTAAAAAAAAGAGGGTGCGCCTCTCCTCCAGTTGGGCCAGGACCCCTACTCAGAGGCTAGTCATTTTGTCATTTGATGTCTCAATGAGGATCAAATGTCACTTCCTCAGAGTGACATTTCCCCTACCATCCATTAATCCACTGAACTGCTTCTTGTTTGCACATTACCTAAAATGAAAATACATATTGAGTTTCCCCAGCTGGAAGGTAAGCTTCAAGGGGGCAGGGCTTCTGGCTGGTGGAGGTGCTATTTGTAGAATGAATGAATCCTCAAGAAGGGTGATCCTCCCTACGTTTACACCATCTCCTCTCCAAGGCCTCAAGACCCATGTGAAGCTCTGAGGCTCCCTGCCCTTATGTGTGGGGGTAAGGGGGAAGGTTTCAGGAGCTTGGGGGGGGAGGCGGAGCCTGGGCGTGGACCCACACAGCCCAACAGGCACTGGGGGCGGCTGCAAAAGGGCGGGGGCAATAGGAACAAGCTGCCTCTGTGAGGCCCTGGGAGGCCCCAGCTTCTCGGAAAAGCCAAGAACAGAGAGTCCAGAGCGGTTAGTGGGCCTGAGAGGCGGCAGGGGGCCCAGGTGCTGCCCCTGGCCCTCCTCGTCACTTCCCACCTCTGCTAGTGACAGTCAGCTGAGAAGGGGAATGGAGGAACTTGGAAAGCCCAGTAGGCTTTCAACCAGGGCAACATGACTCAGTCACACAGTTGCAGCAAGAAAGGATGGGGCATGGAAGTTGGGGACACTTTAGAATGAGGGACAAGGTCTGGGGACCCATGGGAAGCTCAAGCAAGGCTTAAATGAGAGAGAACGTGGAGACTGGGGGCAGAAGAGGTTTGCACTGGAAGAAGCAATTGTGGGGACGGGGGGTGGGGGGGCAGGTAAAGAAAAGTGCCCCAGCTCTCCCCTCAGCTGGAGCGGAATGGAAGAGCTCAGAAAAAGTAAGGGGGGACGTGAGGGATGTGAGCTTGAGGCCAGGAGGGGGTGGGGGGAGCCGGTCCTGACTGGTCCTGACAGGGCCCAGACATCCAGTCTCAGGTTATTTTTATACTGTGGTTTGTGCCCAAGGCCAGGAAGGGGGGAAAAGTTCTCATCTTCACACTTGTACGTAACCCAAGGTGGTATTTTCTCCTCTAGGACAGAAGCATCCAATCCGCACATCCCAAGCTGCCCACCCCGCCTCAGGGACCCAGGCATCCTGTTCCCCCCCTCCAACTTGTTCCTCTTTTGGAGACAGGAAGCAGAAAGAACAGATGATTTAACTCTCTCTCAGCTGCTTCCTACCTCCCCCCTAAGATGATTAATACCCCAAGGCCCCAAGGTGGCTAATACTCCAAGGTGACCAGCCCCCTAGAGAGACTTAGGGAACTTAGGTTAGGAGAGGGCAAATCCACAAGCCCCCCTGATTCCTGTAAAGTGCACCTCCAACTCAATTCTTCAGGAGGAGAAATTTGATTCAAAGCTGAAAATGAGACTCGGATGGGAAACTAACGGGAAGACTAAAGACCTCGTATTCAGGAGAAGGTTGGCATGAAGAGAAGCGGCTTACCCTTGAATGCCTATCTTCTACCCCCAGCCCCCAAACTCTGGCACTTCCCCCTCAGAAGCCCAGCTACCCAGCCCTACTGGGACCTCCCTCCTCAACTCCTCAGAGAAGATGATGAGACCAAGATACAAGGTGAAGGCCATAGTTAGGAGATCACAGAAGGCTGGAGAGGAGGGGCAAAGGCAATAAATTAAGGAGCCAAGAGATAGAAGATATGAAATGCAGGGGAGGGGAGGGAAAGTGGAAAGATCTTCAAAGTAAAATGGCAGAGAAAGGAGAGGCTATGAGCAGACGGACAGATATAGAGTAGGCAGGGAGGGCAGTGCGGCAGCTAGGCCAAGGCTGAAGTGGACAGGCATGACCCTCCAGGTGTCTCTCCGCTTCCCCTCCCCCTCTCCAGCCCACTCTATTTTTTTTTTAAATATAGAGTAATTACGATTTTAAAATTCGTACTTTGGTGAAAGTGGACTGGACTCAGGTGGCTTCAGCCTCCCTCCCTGTCCACTCTTTCTTACCTGTCCTGTCTCCTCTGGTGCCACCAACTCCATCAGCTGCAGGGTGCCATCCTTCCTTCGGGAAAGTGGAGGAGTCCCAGCCGCGGGGTGCCTTGGCTCCACTTCTACCCTCAGAGAGGGCAGGGGTGTAGAGGTCCAAGATGTGCCCTCACTCTCTCCCGTCCCAGGCTCTGGAGGGTGCTGCTGGGGTAGGGAGGCTGACAAGGGGGGCATCTCCACTTTGGCCTTGCCAAGTACAGCCATCTGGCCCAGCCCCCCGGTCAAGGAGCGAGCCTGAGGTCCAGGTGAGGTGGGGGGCGGACGGAGCCAGGTGGTGGGGCCCTGAGACAGGCCCGGCTGTGGAGTGGGGGCACCCAGGCCCAAGCTAGTAAGCTCTAACCTAGAATCCAATGACCTGCCCCCAGTTCCCCCTGAGGCTCCTCGAATTCCCTCCAGGAGCCGGCCAAAGTTGGGGGTCTCCAGGTCTCTCTCGTAAACATCCACACATGTCCACCGACCTCTACGATAAGGCTCTCCCAGGCCCTGGGGCAGCTTCACCACCCGGAAACGGGAAGCAGGGGCCCCTTGGGCCCCAGGCGGTGGGGAGCCATTCCGGGGAGTACCCTTGCCTCCTGGCTCAGGACTGGGCTCCCCATTGGGTAATCGGGGTGGGGGCCTGATGGGAGCTGGGGGGGTAGGAGGCTCTGCATCCCCGGGGCTCACTGGGCCCTCATAGTCCGTGGTGACGCTGGTGATTTGGAAACTGCTCTTCTTCTTGCCCCCACTCATAGTCCCTGGGGCTCAGGACTGGGCCGAGGTGGGCGGGGGCAGCGGGGCTCCTGGCAGAGGCTCAGGCGCCCCTAGAACAGGGAGGCCACATAACAGGGGCATCGGGGCCCTTGGGGATGTCCGGGTCCGACATGGCAGCAGGGCCTTGGGGAACTGGGGGTGTCTGGCTGGTGAAGAGAGAGCAGGGTAGGGAAGGAGGAGGAAGGGGCAGGTTTTTCCTGCTGCTGTGGCTCTCCGACTCCAAAGCTGAGTTTGCAAACTGGAAAGAGAGAGAGCGCGAGAGTTAGAGAGAGCGTGTGTGCGTGTGTGTGTGTGTGTGTGTGTGAGAGAGAGAGAGAGAGAGAGAGAGAGAGAGAGAGAGAGAGAGAGAGAAAGCAGTGGGCAGGCCACCTCTGAGGCTTCCTCTCTGGGGAGCGAGATGGGGGAGGAAGGGGAAACCGCCAGAGACCCAGAAACAAAGAGGCAGAGATAGATGGCAGGGGGCAAGATCCCAGTGGCTGCCAGACGAAGGCAGATGGGCCCCAAAGTTTGGCACTTTGGGCCCGGGATTCCAGCTCACTGCCCCTGAACGTCCCGAGGGCAAGAGCTGCAGGGCCTAGGCGAACATGCGTGAAGCAGCTCGTGAGCCTGGCCTTGGGTCCCCAGACCCCAGCGCCCACCCTCCCGCGCAGGGGCTGCCAGGCGGGCTCGGCCCTGCCCTCCCCCCACGCCCTTCCCAGCGCCCGCCCCGCCCAGCTCCCTACCTCTCAGGCTGTGCTGGGGGTCCCGGCGCCCAGGACGTCAGGCTGTCTGTCCTTCCCGCGGAAACCCCGGCAGCGCGGGGAGCAGGCGGCGATCAGAGGCTGCCGAGTCCGCTCCGGGGGCCGCGCCGCACCCCACAAGTCATCTCCGGGGAAAGTTTGCTCTCCAAAAAAAGCCGGAACCTCCGCGGTGAAGGCGAGGTGCGGCCTCTGAAGCCCCAGGGGTCTCCCGATCGACGTGGGAGGGGGCGGCTCGCCGGCCGCGCCTCCAAGTGGAAAAGCGCGCTCGGCTCGGGGGTCTCGGCGAGTGGGTGTCCCCGGTCTCCTCCCGCGTGGCAGCGCCGGCTCTAGTCTCTGCTCGTCGGGCTCCTGTCGCGCTCGCTCGCTCTGTCTTTCTCTCTCCGGGCTGTTGACAACCCCCACACCAGGAAGTCCTGCCTCCTCGGGCCTGCTGACTGCTCCTCTCCTCCTTCCCCTCTTCCTCCTCCCTCCTTTCCTCCCTCCCTCCCGGGGCTCCAGGCCAGCTGGCCCGGGGCCAGGCCTGCCACTGCTGTTGCAGTTGCTGCTGCTGATCCCGGGGCCCCAAGCAGGCTCCCTTAACCCCACACCTGCTGGGCCCTAACCCAACTCTTCCTCGGGGGGAGGGGCTACGGAGGGCGGTAAGAAAGGGGAGGAGTTTGCAGGGAGCCGGGGGATTCCCTTACTTGTAGGCAGCCGTAGCCATTGGCCTACGGACTCGTCCAGCGGTCGGAAGCAATCTGCCAGGCGCCTTATTGGGGACCTAGGGCACCATGGGTGCCTGGCAAAATTTAGAATGCTGCCGTGGCTGTCATTAATCACACCTTCTTTGGTTTTCAAATTAACTATATGAGGAAAGCACCCTTAATCCTCTCCCTCCACCCTTTATTTTAAAAAGTGGATTGTGAAAAGTTGCAAACGTGCACAAAAGTAGAGTATCAGCTTAGTGCTGTCATAGCAGAAATACCACAAGTGGGTGGCTTTAACAAACAGAAACGTATTTCCTCGCCGTTCAGGAGGCTACAAGTCTGAAGTCAGGGCTCGGGCTCTAGCAGTTGCTCTTTCTCTTTTGTTGGTTTTGGAGGAAGGTCTTTTGTCTCTTCAACTCGTGCTTCCTGGAGATCACCATGTGTCTTGGCATCTGCTGTATCCATCTCCGCTCACTTGTTTAATCTCTTATATTTCAAAGGAGATTGATTCAAGATACACCCTACACTAATGCCGCCTTAACATAGCAAAGATGGATCATTCACAAATGGGATTAAAACCACAGTTAACAGTTATGCTTCCCCTCCCCTAGCGGTAAAGAGCTGCATTGACAACACGAAGGAATGTGGTTCGAGTCCACCAGCTTGCTCCACTGGAGAAAAAAAGAGAAATCTCCCTGCAATTTACTGCCTCTGAAAACCGTCTGAACAGTCAGCTATGGGGTGGTTCCAATTCAACAGTCCACAACAACAGAACAGCCAAAAAAGGTCAGTGGTGGTTTAAATCCAAAAGCCACTCCAAGGGAGAAAGATGGGCAGCCTCCCCCTGTATAGATATTGTTGTATAAATGTTATGTGCCATCGAATCACTTGCAACTCATACCACCCCTATGAACAGCAGCTCTGAGCCCTGCTCTAACCTGTGCCAACTTTATTGTCTCCGACACACCTATCCCCATTACCCCAGTCACTGAATCAATCCCTCTCCGCCTCAGAAATCCCATGGAAGGTGGCCTTGCCTAAGAATCAGCTTAATAGCAGTTCAATTTCGGGGATCAGTCGGTGGTCCTGGCAAGAGAACATACCTTGAAATTGGCAGGGAGTCGGATAGGGCAAGGTTCAGATCCTCCTCCTTTGTTCCTTAGGTCACTATGAGTCATACCAGACTTGATGGCATCTACCAACAAAGCTCATATAAAAGGGAGCGAGCGCTGGTGGTGCAGTAATTAAGTGCTTAACTGATTACCAAATGATGGGTGGTCTGAACTCTCCAGCTGTTCTGTGAGAGAAAAATGTGGTCGTCAGCTTTCATGAATATTTACAGCCTTGGAAACCATATGTGTCCTACTCTGTCCTAGCAGGTAGCTGTGAGTTTGAATCTCTTTGACGGCAATGAGTTTAGTTTTTATTTAGGCTCCCAAAGAGTTCAAGAAGAGTCCAGAGCAGAGGGTATCTTTTGGACCAAAGACTCAGGGTCTCTTTGACTTTTTTGCCGAGAACTTCCTAGGCTCAGAAGAAAGGTCTGTAACACTGAAGATAGTGAAAGACAGACAGTGGGTTTGTTGGTGCACAGAGTAAGGTGGCTGTGGTGGGCTTGTTGGCTTCATGAGTGAGAATTGAAGCCTTTAGAGGCTAGCTGGTGGAGCTAAAAGACCTGTCACACTTTCAGGACAAGAGAGGCTTAGATGTGACCAGTGTAAGGATTATATCCACACCACCACAACCTTTGACATTGAACATCACAGTTGATGTCACTCATAGCTTCCAACAGTGCAGGCTGGAAACATAGCAGGTCCAGCCAATGTGTTGGGATTCAGTGGTAGAGGCTTAGAAAGGCCCAACAGCAGCAGCTTTGGAGTGTGTGTGTGTGTGTGTGTGTGTGTTCTTGCTGGCCAGGCAAGGCTCAGCAATAGGGTGGTGGTAGCCAGAAGCAGTGATGGTGTGAAGATGGCAGCTGACCTGAACCTGCCCGGTGACATGACAGAAGAATGTAGTGTTGTTGTTGTTGTTGTTGTTGTTATGCACCATTGAGTGGGAACCGATCCATAGCTGACCCTAAGGCAGCTTTTCTTTCAGAGGCAGTAAATTGCACAGGACCTGAGTGTCCATCTTTATGGAACACCTGGTGGATTTAAACTGTGTGCCATTGGGTTGGCAGCACAATTCCTTGTCACTAGTCCAACAGAGCTCCTTGACAGAAGAATGGAACTGGGTAATTTGGGGAAGGGTAAGCATTTCCCTTGGAGAATCTATTTGGGTTTTTTTATAAATAACAATGGTTTTCAGTGTATGGACACCATCTCAAGTTTCTGGCTTGGTCGCAGATGAATGTTATTATCTGTAGAATGGTTGATGTGGTGCGTGTTTATGTCTCACTCTCAGCTGTCTTATGGCTGGAAGTCTGAGGCATAGGCGAGCAGAATGCAGAGACTGGCACTGCATATACTCTCTTTTCCTATTAATTGGTATTTTGAAGGAGAAGCCACACACACTTGCCAGGGACATGATCAAGCAAGAAATCTCCACCTGTCATTTCTCCCTTGTAACCGCCCCAAACCAACTGAGGGGAGTTATTTTAACAATAATTTTAAAAAGCCATCTCTAATGGCTATATCTGCCTTCACCCCAGATTCAGAAGGAAGTAAGTTCTAATTAATTTTCATCAAAGGAAGCTGCTTTCAGATATATTCAGAAGTCTTCATAGTTGTCACGTAATTATAGGGGTTTGGCACTCCAGTGTTTCAGGTGAGAAAATGAAAACTCAGAGCTAATATTTGATGACTGAGATTAGTACTGGATTCTGAAGAGTCCAGGACCCTCCCCACCATCCCTGCCTTTCCCAATCTCTGTGTTGAGCTTTTTTTAGCACATGGAAATGCTAACCTCTTTTTCACTCAGTGACTTCTGGTTGACCTTCTGTTGGGTTCAAAGCTGAACAACAACAAATCGTATGGAAGTAGATTGCCCATCTTTGTTCGACAGAGCCACTGGTGGATTTAAACCTCCAGAGAAGAGCCACTTTTAGGTTAGCATCACCCCCTGTAAACTAGGCTGCCAGAGCTAGTTAACTACTCTCTTAAAAAAATCAAACTTGGGATATCTGGTGGTCTGGTGACAGGAAGCTGAGCTGCAATCCCAAAGGAATGCAGTTCAAATCCATCAGATACTGTGCTGGAGAAGGATGGGCCATCTCTTGTGTACCAGTCGGATCTGACTTGGTTTTGGGTTTTTTTTGGGGGATGTGTGTGTGTGTGTGTAATATATTTTTTTACTTGGATTTATTTTTTTTTAACAAGTAAAAAAAAAAAATTCAAACTCATGGCCACCTAGTCGGAACCAACTCATAGTTGACCGTCCAGCAGGTTTTCATATCTCGCAAATCCACTGGGAGTTTTGGTGCCTTAGGCCATAGCGAGCAGCTCTACTAACTGGGAGGCCATGACCCCTTCACTTGGAATCCACCAGCCTGTCAGCAGGAGAGAGGGGCCATTTCTTCCCACGTGATTGACAGCCTTTGAAAACCTGTAGAAGGGGCAATTATGGGTTGATTCAGACTCTAGGACAATGACTTTTTTTTATTCTTTTGAGGACAATGATTTTTAATTTTGTATTACACAAGAGGCATTCTGCTGTGGAACAGTGGATAGATTCCAACGGCCAAAAGAAATTGCCTTTGAGTTGGCAGCAGAAGACCCTTTAGACTAAGCCACCAAGCTCCCCAACCTCTCTCTTTAGGGCTAAGGGGAAACAACAACCCTCATTTCTATATTATTGATTAAAATGCATTGAGGACCCTGGTTACTGGCTTCCTTTAGCCAACCTAACAATGCCTAAGTCTTGAGGCCTCCTGGAAGCAGTCTCCCATATGTCTCCAAGTCCCCACCCTTCTGCTTTCCCTACTCTCTCCTCTCTGGCAGCACTCAGCACACACCCCTGCCTGCTCTGTCACTGTCATCGCTGAAATGGCTTCACTACCAGCTCTTCCTTCAGGCTGTGAGCGAGGACCCCACTCCCCACCAGCTCTGGCACTCAGCTTCTCAGATAACTCCATTTCCACAGTCCCTGGGGCACAGAAGGCCTTTGCTGAAGTTTGTTGAATGAATAAATATAAATTAATTCACACACTGTAAATAGGAAACGACTAATAACTCTTTAATGTGTTACCTCTCCTGGGGACATTTATAAAAGCCCTTGAAGTGTAGAGCCTTTTGACAATCATCATTCTAATGAACTCCCATGCCCTGAACTCTGCTCAGATGGCTAGCAAATAAGGTTCTATAGAAAGGTTGCACTATTTGCCCAAGGTCACAAGAGCCACTCTATTGGCATTGTTAGGTGCCATCTTAGCAGAACTAAAGTCTTCCTGCAGCTAATTTACTTTAAGAAAAGGTTAGAATAAAAGGATTTCCGATGAAGGAATTTTAAGGAACTGATGAGAAAGGTGATAGAAAGGGGTGGGACCCGAAGTAGCGACCCCAGGGACCACACCCGCCCGAGGTGGCCCAAGTCAAGAACCGACAACTGGTTCTGGCGCCGGTGGAGTCAAAGGTTATGGGGCGGGTGCGTTGGACCGCAGGGGACAACACTTTGAGCCCAGGCCGAGAAACAAGGTCCCGGCGCCTGGGCGGCTGCAGCGGGAAGAGACCCAACACTGAGCGAGCCAGCTCTCGTGCCCTCCCCCGCACCCCGGGGGCGGCGGGGAAGAGGCGGCGCGGCCAGGGGAACACGCCCCCTGCTGGCCACACAGGCAGCAGGTAGGGCTCTTGAGCCCCTGGGCCGGAAAATAGCGCCCCCTGCCGGCCTTGCTTCCTCGCTGCATCCCGGCCCCGCAGCCGCAGCCTCGGACCCGGCCGGACGCCGGGTGCGGACCCGGCGAGCACCGGACGCACCGGCGATGTGCGTGGGTGCGGATTCCGGGCTGCCGCTGGGGGCGCCGCTGCGCACCGGGCTCCGCTCCGCCGGGGCCTGGGAGACAGAAGCAAGCGCGGCCCGGCCGGCCGGGCCGGAGGCGAGGGGCGACCAGGAGCCGCCTCTCCGCGGAGGGGGCAGGCTGGTTCTGGGTCCTCCAGCGCCCCAGGACCGTTCTCCGAAATTGCCCCCGCCAGATCCGCAGACCCCGCGCTTGCCACCCGGGTCTCGTGGTGCGGCGCGGTGCGGCGCAGCGAAGCCGCTCCCGCTCCGTCCTTGGAGGGTGTGGAAGGGTGGGTTTGGGGCCGGGGGCGGGTCTGGGGGCGGACCCGGAGGCGGGGCTGTCTCTGCGGCAGGGCCCAGCTCCGCTCCCCCCGGTCTCTCTGTCTATCCTCCTCCCTCCTCCTGCTCCGGGCGGAGCCCGGCATGGGGGGGCCGGCGCCCGGCAGGCCAGGTACGGTGATGTAGATGTTAAGGAGACTTGGGGTGGGGAGATGGGGTGGGGGCACAAGGGGCAGAGTGGATGGGCCGGGCGAGAGGCGGAGAAACCCAGGGTAGCAGGACAAGGAGAAGGGGAGGGGTGCCCGGGAACCTGGGGCCCTAGGGCGGAGAGGGGGATGAAGCGGGCCAGGTTTGGAATAAACAGGGGAAGGGGGAGGACGGCCGTGAAGAGGGGTGCCTGGGGAAGAAGTGAGACTGAAGACGGAAAGGAGCGTGTGTTTGGGGGAAGGGAAGCCCGAGCAGGTATGGAGGCCACAGCTCAGGGTATCACGGGGCCACGCTGGAGACCCCTGGGGTGGGATTGAGGGGTGGACCTGGAAGAGGGAATCCAGGACCCTTCAGAATTCTGGAGGAGGAAAAGATGATTTGAACCATCAGTGAGAGAGTGAGGTGGAGACCACTGCTGAGGGGCCGTGTAGCTGGATTAGGGGTGGACAGAGGCCCTGCCCCAAAGACTGGAGGGGGCACAGCAGGGAATGAGATAGATGGATGGTATTTCAGATGCCCCACCAGAATGCTGCCTCCCCTTCCTTCCTCCCACCCTACCCTCATCACCTCCTCCAACCTTCAGGGTCCAAGAGGGGCTGGGAGTCAGCCTCCCTCTTCCCCAATGGGGTGCAACGTAAGCAAGTAGGCCCTGGGCACAACTCCGTGTCTGTAGGTGTGTCTGGTTCAGGATAGCCGATTAGCCTGTGCTTAGATGTCAGTGTGTGTCTATGGGTGTGTCGGTGCATGTTTGTGTGTCTGTTTCTCGGCCGTGTTTACCTGTGCTGCTCCTCTGTGTGGGGATCCGGGTCCAGGGCTGGAGGTTTGCGTGCCTGTGTGTGTGTCACTGCGGCCTGCCTGTGGTGCTGGAGCAGGCTGAGAATCTGTGTCGGTCTGATCTCTCTGGAGTCTGTGTCTCTGAACACTTTTGTCAGGGTGTGTCACTCTGTGTCTGTCTGTCTGTGAGTCTTGGAGGCTGTGTTGGGTTTTCTGGGCCTCTATTTTCCTTTTTCCGTGGTCTGGAGTCACATCTCTGCACCTTTTCTCTCTCTCTCTTTCTCTCTCATTCATTCTCGGCTTCCCCCACCCCCTCTGCCTCTTTCTTTCTTTTCTTCTTCTTTTCCCCCCCTCTCCCCACCAAGTGGATCCGGGACCCAGGGAGGGCCGTCCCCCGGGCCTGGTGGCACTGAGCAGGGCCCCCCAGCCCCCACCTCCTGCCCCACGACATGAACCTCCTCTACCGAAAAACCAAGCTGGAGTGGAGGCAGCACAGGGAGGAGGAGGCCAAGAGGAGGTAAGGCTGTGGGCCCCCGGGCTGCCCCCGCCTGTCCTGCCCCAGTGCCCCCCTTTCTGGCCTGCAGCTCTTCTGCGGTCTCTTGTCAACAGGGAGGCCCCCTGATCAAGTCCTGCACTCCTCACAGAGTTGCTGGATGGCATGTCCCATCCCAGTCTCCATCCTGGCTCCCACACCTGCCCTGGCCTCTGAGGGTTTCCAACTCAGTAGCATCCTGTCTTCTCTTGCTCCTCCCCAGTGGCCCCAGTTCCTCCTTCCTGACTCTCTGGACTCACCTTTGGTGTGCGGTTTCTTCTCTCTGTCAATTTGGGGCTGGTTTCTGATACCCCTGTCACCTGACCTTGGAAGGAGGACCCCCTGCCCCCCCCATAGGGACCAGAGGACTGGTCCTTGGAGAAGGCATCAGAGAAAACCCATTTGACCCCTTCCCAGTCTCCTCTGCTGGGGTAGTAAGTGACCAAGTGTTGGGGTCATCTGTGAGGGAACATGTAGACTGGGCTCTACAGGTGAGCTGGGCTGCCCTCGCTGTGCGCCCTCTGGGGGACCTGGGGCTGGCCCTCCCACCTCACCTCCTTCTCTTCACTCCCATTGACTGCACAGCCTCTTGAAGCCTGAGTCAGAGCCACCTCCTTGCTCCCTTTACCCTTCTCGCAACTGTGGAGTTTAATTCTTGTTAATTAGATTAATCAGAGCTATCACTGCAGTGATCTCTTCTTAATGAAGGGTTAGTAGACAGGGCCTTAATGAGAGCCCCCTCCACCCTCTTCTCTGCCAGCCGCCCCCCTCCTCTTCATGCACAAAGCAGCTCAGGGACAGTGAAAGGGGAAGAGAATGAGCCAGAGAGGGTGACAGAGGATTGCGCTCGGTGGGCAGCATGGGCAGTGGGAGAGGCAGGCTGAGGAGTGGCAGTGGGGGGCTCATGGAGGACAGCAGAGTCAGGGGGAGGGATGAAGGAAGGACAAAGGAGAAACTGGGGGAGGCTGCTATGGCAATGCCACTGCAGTGCAAATGTCTGGGAGAGGAGGAGCGGCGTGGGGGCGTCTGGACATCGGCAGGGGGACGGACAGAGGCCTGGTGTGGGCTGTTGTGAGTGAGAAGAGGGGTTGAGCCGTGGCAGCAGATGTGCTGTCCGTCTAGAGGGCCTGCGCCACCTGGGTTTGTAGTCCTCTCCCTTATGTGTACAGTGTACTAGGCATGGCTGTCCTGAGATTGGCCAGCTCCAGGAGTGTTCCCCTTAACAAACATTCACCCCTTTTCTCTCCTGGCCCTCATCTCTTTGCCTTTTTAAAAGCCAGGCAACTCAGCCTGAAGCCCCCTCCCTCTGTGCCTTGGATTTCAAGCTCCCCTCTACATACCCATCCCAGGCTGCTCCTGGCCTCCCCAAAAAACCACAGGGTTGCCACCACCTCTTAGGATGGAGGCAGGCAGGCCCAGGTCTGCAGCCTGACCCGCCCTCAGCCTTGGGTCTTCTCTCCCCAGCTCCAGTAAGGAGGGGGCTCCTGCAGGCCCAGCGGGACCTGGGACAGGCCCGGGGCCTGGAGTCCGAGTGCGGGACATCGCTTCTCTGCGTCGCTCCCTCAGGATGGGCTTCATGACGATGCCCGCCTCCCAGGAGCACACCCCACACCCCTGCCGCAGCGCCATGGCCCCACGCTCACTCTCCTGCCACTCTGTAGGCAGTATGGACAGCGTGGGGGGTGGGCCTGGGGATGGCGGTGGGGGTCTCACGGATGACAGCAGTGCCCGAAGACCCCCAGCCAAGCCCCGGAGACACCCCAGCACAAAGCTCAGCATGGCAGGGTCAGGGACAGAGGTGCCTCCCAGCAAGAAAGCAGGTGAGTTGCACTTAGCTCTCCACAGGTGGAGCTGGGAGTGGGAGGGTCCACGTGAAGGCCAAGGGCATCTGCCAGGGAGGGTCCATTCAGGAAACAACCAGTGTGGAAGGTTTCCTTTTCAGAGAGTGGGCTGCAGATGGACCATTTGAGGGCAAGGGGATAGGGTGGTCTTGGAGGGAGAGTTAGGAGAGAATGTAGGGTGGGAGTGGTAGATTCTGGGCTAGAAAAGAAACACACAAAGGGTGTAAGTTGAGGGGCGAGGCTAAATGAAGAGAGAAATGCCTTTGCAGATGGATTAGGAGGTCAGACTCCCTTCTGTAACCAAGAACCCAAGTTACTTTCTTTTATTCCATCTCTGCCAGGCTCACAGAAGCCCACCCCTGAAAGCCGAGAGTCTAGCCGGAAGGTCCCTCCACAGAAGCCCAGGCGGAGTCCCAACACCCAGCTCTCTGTCTCCTTCGATGAGTCCTGCCCCCCAGCCCCTTCTTCTCGAGGGGGGAACCTGCCTCTCCAGCGCATCAGCAGGGGGTCCCGCGGAGCTGGAGACCTTGATGTGGGCACCCAGGAAGAAGAGCCTGTGTACATCGAGATGGTGGGAGATGTCTTCAGAGGAGGAAGAAGTGGAGGATGTCTCACGGGGCCGCCTCTTGGAAGTGGGGGCCCAACCCCTCCAGCGGGCCCCGACTCGGACTCTGAAGAGAGCGAGGCCATTTATGAAGAGATGAAATACCCGCTGCCCGAGGAGACGGGGGAAGGCCGGGCCAATGGGGCCCCTCCACTGACGGCAACTTCCCCACCACATCAACCTCATGTCCTACAGCCCCACGCCCACCGCCGTCCAGCTTCAGCCCTTCCAAGCCGGAGGGATGGGACACCCACCAAGGCCACTCCTTGTGAAATTCCCCCACCTTTCCCCAACCTCCTTCAGCATCGCCCTCCACTCCTGGCCTTCCCCCAAGCCAAGTCAGCTTCCCGAACCCCTGGCGATGGGGTCTCAAGGCTACCAGTCCTCTGCCACACCAAGGAGCCAGCGGGCTCCACCCCAGCTCCCCAAGTGCCTGCCCGGGAGCGGGAGACGCCTCCCCCACCGCCTCTGCCTCCTGCTGCCAACCTCCTGCTGCTGGGACCATCGGGCCGGGCCCGGAGCCACTCCACACCGCTGCCACCCCAGGGCTCTGGCCAGTCCCGGGGCGAGCGGGAGCTCCCCAACTCCCACAGCATGATCTGCCCCAAGGTGGTGGGGGCGCCGGCAGCCCCCCCTGCCCCAACCGCCTTGCTCCCCGGGCCCCCCAAGGACAAGGCCGTGTCTTACACCATGGTGTACTCGGCAGTCAAGGTGACCACGCACTCTGTGCTGCCAGTGGGTCCACCCCTGGGTGCCGGGGAACCAAAGACTGAGAAGGAAATCTCAGTTCTGCATGGGATGCTGTGCACCAGCTCGAGGCCTCCTGTGCCCGGAAAGTCCAGCCCCCACAGTGGGGCCATCAGCACAGCCACTGGAGTCCTTCACCACCGAGGCTGCCTCGCCTCACCCCACAGCCTTCCGGACCCAACTGCAGGCCCCCTGACACCCCTCTGGACTTACCCAGCCACAGCAGCTGGGCTCAAGAGACCCCCTGCCTACGAGAGCCTCAAGGCTGGGGGGTTGCTGAACAAGGGCTGCGGCGTGGGGGTGCCATCCCCCATGGTCAAGATTCAGCTGCAAGAGCAAGGGGCCGATGGGGGTGCCTTCGCCAGGATCTCCTGTGCCCACGTCATTGCCAGTGCAGGGACCCCAGAGGAAGAAGAGGAGGAAGAGATGGGTGCCACGACATTTGGGGCAAGCTGGGCTCTTCAGAGGAAGGTCCTGTATGGAGGGAGGAAGGCAAAGGAGCTGGACAGTGAGTGAGGGGTGGCAAATGGGCACGGGACACTGGAGGGTCTGGTAGAGGGGTGTTGTTGATAATGGTGTGGAGGAGCTGTTGGCAGAGTTATTGGGAAGCCATAGCCCCATTGTCATCCGTGTAAAGTGTTCTAGGAAACGAGAGGGGGCGGTGGGTAGTAGGCCTGGCGGGGTGGTGAGGGGGCAGCGTCCTGCTGCCTGTCCTGCTCTCCTCCTTGCCCCACCCTTTCCCAGGCTGCAGGGGTGTGTTTGTGAGTGTGCGCACACTAAGAGCTAAACACAGCTGCCTCCCAGCTGTTACCATGACAACCCATCCAGACAGGGAGAGGATTGCAGGCCCTACCGTTGCCTGGCAACGCAATGCTCTGCCAGGCCTGCTCTTCAAGCTGAGCTTAGTTCACAGGCAACCCTTCCCTCCCGCAGCCCCCTCCCCACGGGGCAGAATTTGGCATTCTCTCCTTCTGGGGAATGGTGCCCCTAATCCAGCTTCAGAGGGGTGGTCATTTTGGCATGGGGGCACTGCAGCTACAGCTGGGGCATCTGGTCTTTTGAGCTGAGAAAATGGTTTGGAAGCAGCAAATATATGTGACTCTTAGCTTCATGGGGATGGTACCCACAGATGGAAAGGAAACTGGGTCTGTGTGTGTTGGGGAAAGTGTGTAGGGTCCTGCCCAGACATAGGGTGGCTTGCCGAGGGGGCTGCTCATTCTTCTGGATCACCTGGGCGGTGGCGCGGTGGTTGGGGACACAGCAGGATCCCTTCCACATACAGGTGTTCAGCTCTCCTTGTCATCCCAGCAGAAGCCGAGGAGGGTGCCCGGGCCTGGAATGGCAGTGCCGAGGGTCCAGGCAAGGTGGAACGTGAGGACAGGGGTCCTGTGGCATCAGGGATCCCAGTGAGGAGCCAGGGGGCAGAGGGCCTGCTGGCCAGGATCCACCATGGAGGGGACCGAGGAGGGAGCCGCACAGCGCTGCCCATACCCTGCCAGACCTTTCCCGCCTGCCACCGCAATGGAGGTGACACCTTGCCTGAAGACACTCTCATTCTCAAGATGGGGCTGGCTTGGGAGGAGCGTCCAGGGTCCCATCCCTGACCTTATTACACCCCCCTGTACAAGAGCATGTCCCAGGCCCTGAATCTTAATGCCACATCTCCACCCCCTTTCCTCCTTCGAGGATGAAGTTGGGCACAGCTTGGGCGTGGCTATCAGGGAGAGGGGGAACCTGGAGCCCCTTCTGTCCTCACTTCTCATTCTCGCTTCAGACTTCACGGGAGGCTACCGCCTGGGGCGCTCCGCCTCCACCTCCGGAGTCCGGCAGTCCGTGCTGCACACACCCCGGCCCAGCAGCCAGCCCAGGGACGCCCCGAGCCAGGTGAGGACGCAGAGGGGGAGGCGGCGGTGCAGCCGGGGCTGGGCTGGGAGTGTGTTTCTTTTAATTTAAAAAGGGGCCAGCACAGGGAGGTGGCCTGGGTGTGGAAAGAAAGACAGCTAGAGGTCCGTGTGGGGACCATGGCTAATGAGATCTCAGAGGGGGTGCAAGGGAGGAAGGTCCCTGGGAGAGGATCAACGAGGCAGGGTCCGGGTTGGAGATGTGCCCGGGAGCTGCCATTGTGCGATTTGGGAAAAGGGCGCCCCCTCTGGGGGGAAGGACCGGCAGAGGTGCCTGTCCCTCCCGCCTCCCGGGCGCCCCCAGCCTGGATTTCAGCCTCCACCTCGACGGGAGGGCACGGGTTTCTGGAAGGAGACTGCGAGGAAGGGGCTGCCACTCCCAGGTGCTTGACCCTCCCCCTTTCTCCTTTCTCCCCCTCGCCCGCTGATGGCCGGTGGCGGGGAGGAAGGGGCACAGACCCCCGCCGCACTGCCGCTGCCGCTGCCCCTGCCGCCCCAGCCCGCCCGCGAGCGGGACGGCAAACTGCTGGAGGTGATCGAACGCAAGCGCTGCGTCTGCAAGGAGATCAAGGCGCGGCACCGGCCGGACCGAGGGCTGTGCAAGCAGGAGAGCATGCCCATCCTCCCCAGCTGGCGGCGGGGGCCCGAGCCCCGCAAGTCCGGCACCCCGCCCTGCCGCCGGCAGCACACCGTCCTCTGGGACACTGCCATCTGAGGGGGCCAGGCGGGCACCTGGACTGGGGAGCGGGGCGGGGCGCGCCCGGTTTCTCCGGGGAGACTTGCCTTGAAAGAGACACTTGAAGGACTAGGTGAGAGAGCGCCAGGGGGACCCTCCTTGCCCTCCACCCTACCCCCAGAGACGGGGAGTCACCCAGGCCCGCTGAGCTTGGGGCGCCTGCTGCAGTACACTCAGAAATCTGGGGGAAGGAGAAGGTTGCTGGGGGTTGGGAGCGAGGCACTCCGCTCTCCCGATTGGGCGAGGTAGACCCCCTCTTCCGAGGCCAAAGGTCAGGCCAGAGTCCCTTTGGAGAGTGGGAAGGAGGGAAGGGCTAGGGAGGAGGAAGGGGGATGAGTCAAATGAGAGGGAGTAGCGAGCAAGAGGTAGTGGAGCTCTTTTATAGAGTCAGGGATGGGGAAGGGGTATTTATTTTGTTATTTATTTCAGTCAGGAGGACAATTCTTGGTCCTTCTAACCTGCTTCTGAGCAGGGAGTGTAGAATTGAGGCAATTCAAGGGAACCAAGTTTGCCCTCTCCCCAGTACCTGAGAACCCCACCATCTCTGCCCACCCCAAAGTTAGGGAACCATCTGGCCTGGGGAACGGAGTGGACAAAGCGAGGGGCTCGGGAGCAGAGGGCAGCAGATTAACTCACAGAGTTCGCAGTGTGCCAGGATTTGGTAGTGAGCGTGGCCTCCTCTGAAACAGGCATATTATTTAGCTCTGGGGTGAGAGTCTAGTGCCAGGGATGGGCGGGATGATGGGGAAGGAGGGAAATTTTAGTGGGTGGGGGGCGGGCCAGGGTATTTATTTAAATTTTAAAAGAAGAAGAGATGTCAGGAACTTTTTTTTAATTCCTTTCTTTTCAGAATAATATATTAAAAGACTAATGATCCTAGAATTGGCTGCTTATATTTCCCAGTGTTCTCTGCCTGTCTTAAACTGGTGTCTTCATCCTTCTTGCCCTTGGCTGGTGGGAGCTGAAAGTTGAGAGGGGAGGGTTGAGTTGCTGTGACAATCAGGGGCCTTTGAGGTAAGTGTGTGGGAAGGCGACCACGCAGTGAATAAGTGTTTATCTTGTGCATGTAAGAAATCAGAAGATATATCATATTGGGCAATCTGCTGTCCAGGAACTTGCCAGAATGCTCTGGAGTAATGAGTTAGTTTAAAGACTAAGGTGCATCTGATCCAACCATGATCTTTTCAATTACTTGCTATGCATCTGACAGTTGGACAGTAAAGGATGACAAGACAAATCAGTGCCTGTGAACTGTAGTGTTGGAGAAGAGTACTGGATATCCGACGGTATGCCAAAAAAATGTCTTGGAGAAAGTGCAAACAGGGTACTAATTCAAGGTGAGGCTGATGAAGCTTCCTCTCATATACTTTGGGGGCCAGTCCTCAGAAAAGGACATCATGCTTGGAAGGGTGTTGAGTCAGCAAAAGAGAGGAAGACCCTCAACAAGTTGGACAGTGACAATGGACTCACGTGTTTCAGGAATGATGATGGTGGCACAGGTTAGGCCATGATTCAGATCAGTCGTTCATAGGGTTGCTGTGTGTTACCGTCAACTCGATGGCACCTAACAACAACAATATATGTCCAGGAAGTTTTGGCAGCATAGTCTGTAGCCAGGTGCTGGCAATTGAAATCCACCAGTAGTAGCTCAGTGGGAGATAGGCTTTTATTGTTAAGAATTACTACCTCACTGCTGCAATCGCGAAGGCACGCAGTTTGAATCCACCAGATGCTCCGCTGGAGAAGGAGGGGAAATCGTTTGTGCCAGCTGGATCTGATTCGAAGGTACACAACAGAAAAAGGAGAAAAAAATTACCACCTTGGGAATCTGATGGATGGTTAATATGACTAAATCAGAACTGATTGGACAGCAATGAGTGAATGTGGGTCTGGCATTGAGACCAAAGCCCATGGTGGAGTAGTTTACACAGGAAATTGAGACATCCAAGACAATGGCAGACAATACTGTAGCCATTAGAGAGGGAGAGGACTGGACTCATTAGAGAAAACTTCCTGGAAAATGAGCCCAAAAGGACAGGGAAGCCTTGGATAAGCAGAGCAAACACCCCAAGGCCACAGTGTGAATGTAGAATGATAGGAGCTGGGGCAGGAATGAAAGTGTGTTTCAATAGCAACCAGGGTGTTATTAATGAGCATGACAGACAAGACAGATTCATCTTGGAGAGGATTAAATCAAGCTACTCCTTGGAGGCAAGGATTCTGGGGCTTCGTCTGACATACTTTGGACATGTTGCCAGGAGGGACGGGTCCTTGGGGAGGGACATCGTTTTTGAGGGTGGAGGGACAGCGCAGGAGGGGAAGACCCTCTATGAGATGGATTGATTCGGTGACTGGGGTAATCGGGATGGGTGTGTCAGAGGCGGTGCGGTTAGCGCAGGATAGAGCAGGGTTTAGGGCTGTTGTGCATAGGGTCGCTATGAGTCGGAAACGACTCGACGGCACATAACAACAACACGTGTGTGCGCGCGCACGCCATCAAATCAAATCAGATCTAACTGACACAGGAGGAGATTGTCCCTCCTTCTCCAGCAGAGCATCTGGTGGATTCAAACCACACATCTCTACGATTGCAGTGCAGCTTCTTGCCACTAGGCCACCAGAGCGTGCCAAGAACATTTTTTAAAAACCTAAATAGTTATGTATTTTTCTCATTCATCTTAGAAAAAATTATAACCAGCAATCAAATTTGTTATTTCATGGTTGTTACTGCTCAGGATAAAGCCAAAATTCCTTTTAGTGCATTCATAGGAAGATATTAAAAATTATGACAATGGTATAAGGATTTTTTAATTTGAGGAAATGCCAAGGTAGAGGAAAAATTATAATTTGGGAGAGAGGACAAGATGTGGCATAAACATCCTGGTGATCATAAACATAGAAATTTTACTTAAAGACATGACCTTTAACTCTATGAAAAGAGTCTAGATAGAGTTAAAAAAAGATACTCCTTTTATAAATGAGCTTTTATAGGGAAGTCTTGTGGCTTAGGGGTAAAAAACTGTACTGCAATCCCAAAGGCCCATGGTTCAAATCCACCAGCTGTTCCATGAGAGAATGATGGGATTAACTGCCTCTGAGACTCACTAGAGGGCCAGCTATGGGTCAGTTTCAACTTGACAGTTACACAACAATAATAGGTTTCAAAGAACTAGTGAGAAAATTAGTAGAAGGAAATATCCCATTTATTAAAGCAACAAAAATAATAAAATGTAAAATTAAAATGCCTCTGGAAACTGAACTTTGATAGATGTCAATAGTTATAGAAAGGCTTCAGGCCTTTTGTTCATAGGGTCACTATGAGTCGTGCTCAACTCAATGACAACCAACAATAACAACAACAAGAAATTCATAGGCCCTATTTTTAACCAATTAATAAGATCAAACTAATCATCCTAGAGAGGGTTAAACCAAGCTGCTCCTTGGAGGCAAAGATTCTGAAGCTTCGTCTGACATACTCTGGACATGTTCCAAGGAGGGACCAGTCCTTGGAGAAGGATGTCATGCTCAGGAGGGTGGAGGGACAACCCAGGAGAGGAAGACTCTCTGTGAGGTGGATTGATTCAGTGACTGGGGTAATGAGGGTGAGTGTGACAGTGAGATTGGCACAGGATAGAGCAGGGTTTAGGGCTGTTGTACATAGGTCGCTATGAGTCGCAGGTGACTGGACAGCACATAACAACAACAACAATTTTTAATTACTTAAAAAAGGAAAAATTAATTTATTCTCAGAACAAGCTAGAGTTTAATCTATAAAGAGATTCAAATTACATCAGAATTTAGCATGTATTTGAAAAAGGTGAAAATTTTTATTGTTGGGGAAAAATTACACCCACTCCTCACTTATGGACAATAGTTAGTTCCAAAGCCTAGGGCATTATTTGAAAATCTGAGTAATCTGAAATAGAAGATGATTACATCAGATCACAAAATGGAGGATGACTACATCATTTAAAAACTGCCAAATTATGTCATTGCATAATTGCCAAATTTCAGTATTATCTTTAAAAAACCCAAACAACTCATGGAACCAACTCCTAATTGACTCTCCAGCGGATTTTCAGAGGCTGTAATTCCCACCGGAGGAGATTACCCATCTTTCCCCCACTGAGTCACTGGTAGGTTCAGATCCATGGAGGAGGCTGCCTTCGGGTTAACAGCACAACTCCATGGGCTGTGACACCAAAACTCCCTCAACATTACGTTATTGCCTAATTATATCATTAACTACAAAGCCAGCGTGAATCGTGACCCAGCTAAATCGGCACATATCCTTACCCATCACAGCCAACAATTGCCTTCACCTTGCATCTCAGTGATCATGACTGGCAATATATGTCCTTAATGTGCAAAATAATTTGAGTAGTAGGTTTTGAGAAGTGTGAAATGTCAGGTAACAAGATAAGCGAAGGGTGTTGTTCTTAGGTGCCCTCAAGTTAATTCTGATTCATAGTGACCATAGGTGCTGTGTTTTACCATGAAACTAACCGGTCCTGTGCCATTCTCACAATGTTTTTGGGCCCAATATTGAGGGCACTGTGTCAACCCATTTTGCTGAGAGTCTTCGAGTCTGATGTTCTTTGTTTCCAGAAATTGGCCTCTCCTGATAACATGTCCATGGTATGTGAGATAAGGTATCCCCATCTCAGTTCCAAGGAGCTCTCTACCTGCACTTCTTCCAAGACAGATTTGTTTGTTCTTTTGGAATTCCGTGGTACATTAGATTCAGAGGCATAAGTTCTTCTCTGATCTTCTTTATTCATTGTCCAACATTCACAGGTATATGTTGTTGTTTTTATGTACCATCAAGTCACTTGCGACTCATAGCGACCCTATGCACAAGAGCTTTAAACGCTGTTCTATCCTGTGCCAACCTAGCTGTCTCAAACACACTCATTCCCACCACTCCAGTCACGGAATCGATCCATCTCATCTAAGGTCTTTCTCTCCTGCGTCGCCCCTCCACTCTGCCAAACATGATGTCCCTCTCCAAGGACCAATCCCTCCTTACAACATGCCCAAAGTATGTCAAACGAAGCTTCAGAATCCTTGACTCCAAGGAGCATTCCGGCTTCACCCTCTCCAGGACAAACCTGTTTGTTTTCCTAACATGTATATGAGATGATTAAAAACACTGTGGTTTGAGTCAGGCACATCTTAGTCCTCAAAGTGACATCCTTGCTCTTTAGCACTTTATGTCTTTTACCAGACATCAATATTAATTTTCCTTTTTTTTTTTATTGTGATGTGAGTGAAAGTTTACAAAGCAAGTTGGGCTTACATTCAACCATTCATTCACATTCTGTTTTATGACCCACATTGAACCACAGTCTTTACACTTCCTCCTTGTGACTCATGTTTTCATTAAGTCTCCTATCCTACTCCTTTCTGCCTTCTGAACTTTATTCCTGGGCAAACTGCCCTTTTTGTCTTAATGTGATCCTTAATCTAAGGAGTGACTACCTCTCTGGTGTTATTATTCACTTACTAGGCAGTCGTCTTGTATATTGAACAGCGGAAAGTTAAGCCCAAGGATACATTTTGTTCTGGGGTTGAAGGATGACGAAGGACCACAATCTTGGAGATTCCATCAGCTCTTTAGCATTTCAAAAGGGTGCTTGACAGCACATTTTCCCAATGTAGTATATAGGTTGATTTCTTTTTTAAAAAATATTTTATTATTTTTTATGTGTGTACTATCAAATTGAATCTGACTGGTACAGAATGAGATTGCCCCTCCTTCTCCAGCAGAGCATCTGGCAGATTTGAACCGTGTACCTCTGGGATTGTAGTGCAGCTTCTTGCCACTAGGCCACCAGGGCTCCCTATAGCTTGATTTCTTGACTGCTGCTTCAATGGGC